ACTTATAACTTAATAGAGACACGCCTAATACCAAAAATGCTGGGTAGTCAGAACAACAATGCTGATCAACTGAGTAGTCAATTCGTGACATCCATATAGATAACTCCCGTGAAAATCGTCTCGGTTGATTGCATATGCGCCATAGGGCTGTCAATCAAGAGGTAAAGTTTTACTTCCGGTGAAAACGTAAAACCGCCATTTCTCCGCCAATATTTAGCCTTTTTCAAATTTTTTTCCAGAAATTAGAGATTATTCTTCGACCACTATTTTGACCCAAAAATCCAAATTTGAAGAAAATTGCCGACCCGAAGGTATACTGTAACCTTAAGTAACCAAGAGTACATTAATGTGAATCTTGGCTAATTGTACAGAAACCTAATTTTTCATGTCTTTAATGTAAGATAGCTTTGTAATGTTATATAGATTTGCTGGCATGAGGTTACATAATCATGCTATGCATTGACTAATTTAAGTGTTATCATATTTCAGCAGCATCCCCGCTTTTGATCACTGTCTACTTAAATCTCAAAACTTTAGTAAATTTTGTGTTATGACTGATCCATGTTTTAGTATTTTAGCTGTATTAAGTTATGAAAGGGCCATCCCATCAGTAAACAAGATGCCCCCTCCTACGCATCTGGTGTCCTTACTTGAATTAAGTTGGGAATTACTTTCTTTTTGTTTCACAGCAGAGTAATTAGACAACAAACAGTGTGTACCCTAAGACTGTGTTTGAACTTAGTGGTCCATCAGGCCAGTGGTGGTCTCTGCTTTCTGTAAAATAAACCTACCAGGAGTATTTCTACTCTGCCTGGGAGGAATGGTAGTCAATTAAAAGGTAACACCAAACATTTGCCACCACTGACCCACTTATACTCCTAGGTGGAGAGAGACACTGAAGACAATAACCCAACACCCTGACCCACTCCAGGGCTCGAATGCAGCCCATTCACTCCTGGGTACATGAAACTAACCAATTGGCCACCCGGCATCCCAGAAGGACAGAGTGTACAGGATTTTAAATTAATCAATCACATGTGACCAAGAAATGATCAATGAGAGTGACTGCCATTTTTAAGGATATCCTGTGATATAATGTTGAATGCACTCTTACGGTGACAGTTTTGGGTACATCCTGTAAACTCTGCAATAACATGATAACGATGACAGTTTCATTTTGCTTATAGTACTTTTAGCATCATTTTATCTGGTGGACTTTATAATTTCAGAGGGCAAACCGCTTTTTCGCAAAGTGTGGAACAAACACAACTTTGGCAACATTTAGGACCACAAGGATGTCGTTCTTGTGAAAAGCCCAAACTTTAAATCTAAACAACAGCACTGGATATCTACAGGCAAGCCAAGGCAGAATGACAGCGATTTGATTGAAAGAAGTCCAATTGATTAGATCACATATTGGCAACATGAGGAATAGTGCTAAAAATAAAGTTACTTTAAATGGAGAGAGAGACAGACAGAACAAAGAAGAAGTGTGCATCTCTTGACAGCATCATATTACATGCTATCAATCATTGACTCAACAATTAGTTTACTCCCTCATAATTCATCACAAAAGCACATTAATTTAGGTTTATTTCCTTTATACTTGTAATAATGTAGGGGGAAGATTGCCTTGGGAGGGAATTAAAAAACACATTTTAAAATTCTACTTGTGTTTTGAGCAGAAAATAATTTGACTTCCAAGGCAACATGGAAATTCTAAAACTCCAATAATACGTCTTGTTAAGTGCCAATTAGCTGTGACAAGAAGCTATCGCTCAAAGTATCACCACATCAATGGTAGTAGATTACCCTCATTAGCTCTGATGTTTGACAGTAATTAACTATACCGCATAACCAACATTAAAGTATCTTTTTTCAGGAAGCACACAACAAATCAGAGGTGCAGACTAGACGATTTTTGTCTGATCCATGTTTTGATACAAAATTCTCGAATATAAACCATAATCCATCTGTCCTCTGGACAAGCTCAAGTGAGATGTTTCTCACCAGGGAAAGGCAAAGGATGAAATTCATCTACTGTCCACATGTCAAAACTAGTGTTAGCAATCAGGTATCGGCAAACTTTCAGTCATGTTTCAGGGTTGTCAAAGTTCGATTGACTGGGCGACTTTATCCTTGGAGCAGGAGTAGATGAATGATCTTGGCATCTCTTTCTAAAGAATCAGACTGATAGCTCAGCACAGTAGCTAGTAGATGGTGATTTTCACCAGCAACCAGCTACTATTGGCAACGCCCTGTAAGCAGTGGGTATGTCATTGGGAATTAACTGCATTCAACTTATTGTCGTAATCTTAGAACCCCCAGGTTACAAGAAGCCAATAGTACCTGTTCCTAAATAATCAAAGATGTGCACAACATTTTAGATATACAATTGCAGAATGTAAATATTAATTATGTTGCCATGGTTGCTCTATTCTCTCAATAACTAGATGCAGAGTGAATCTTGTAGACCAGGGACGTCTGCTGAAGGGCCATTATAGGAAGCACAACTTAAGCATGACTTAAAAACATTTTCCATTTACTTTACAATCTGATAACAAAGAAGTTCAAATCATTACGAAAGTATAAAATTACTGATAGTCAAACTTTTCACACCTACAACTTAGACTTTTTGGAAATTCAAGTACCATAATGCAGTGCCAAATCAGGAGATACACATTCATTCCCTTGAACTAAAGGCATGAATGCAGCAAAACTAATAAAACATACGACAGAAGGACAAAGTATAAGCAACAATAGGCGTCGAATGAGAAAATGTTAATTTCCATAGCCGGAAAAGATATTAGATTGTTTACAAGTAGTGGGATATTACAGCAACAGATCTTTCAGAATCGAGTGTACAGCTGAAGGTAGTCTCAAAAGTACGTGCATGGAAGGAAAGGTGACTTGTAAGTGTTTAATATGTGTCATTACTTAGGATTTGTATCATTACAATTCCGAGACATAGTTGGGCAAACACTCCTTCATCAAACACGTTTGGCAGAAGATCGATTCCTCGCTCGTGGCAATATCAAAGTAATTGATATATTTATCAATAGAGCCTGGTCGCCAGCAAAGATCTTAGCCAGAATAAAACAAAATAATCCTAGATCTGGGAAGTGTAAAAGTTCTTCAAACCCTGGCTCAATGTACTACTCAAACATCACAACGAACAATATTTACACTAACAGACATGTTTAATACCGAGGTATAGAAAGGCGGAATTTATCAGCTTTCTGCTGCAAATGCCCGGAAAGATTTTTTTTATATAAAATTTCGAAAGTTAATAACCCTCTGCAGAACTGACGTGTAATAATGATTTATGTGCAATAAACTCAACGACAAATCTCATCCCTCAGCCATTTGTGGAAAGGGAGTTCTGTAACTTGTTTAACGCCTTGAGGAAGACAGCATTGACTTGCTATAGGGCGAATCTTTCCATACTTAAGGATAATGCGAACTAAAACTTTCAAGATGAATGAGTCTAATGGACGAAAGATCGACTGCTGAGAGCTGGACAGATGAAAATTCAGGGGCCCAACTCCCTAACAAAATAGGCGCTCAGCAAATCGATTCTAAACATGTGAGCTTTCCACTACAGACTCACCGGTAGGCAACTCCTAATGGACTATAATAAATCAGCATTCTCATGACATTCGTATGCTTTACTCACCATTTCGATTATTTTTGGATATACTGCCTCAGTAAGGACTCCACGACCTGACGCAATATAGTCAACAAGTTCGTTTAAACATGCCCGTTTAATTTCCTTTCCCTTCAAATCACTGACTGGATCCATGAAATCGAAGACTACACAACACTGTTGTAGTTTCTTGATGAACAACTCCTGTTGTTCGGCTGGCGCCGAGTCTAGTTTGTAAACAGAACAGTTATTTTAGAGTAAAACATTGATTCTTAGGATATGAGAATGCCCAAACAAAGAATAAGGCCAGCTCTACCGTCAGTTTGTCACCCACCTTTCAAAAGACCAAGAGGTTGGATCTCAAAGCTTGGCTTGGACCGAAACCTAGACGATCCTTGTTGCTTTTTCTGCGCAGCTTTCTGCGGTTTCCTAACAGACTTTCTATTAAATGGATCTGGATGAGCAGTAGCAGGGGCAGGATTAATACCTGGCCTTTTTGCCTAGAGTACAAAAGAGGAAAAAGCGACGAAATGAGTCTTACAGTGCGAGCATGTTTGCACAGAGGCGAGTGCTTGCCATACGTAACGACAACAACACGCTTGACGTGATCTCTACTCATTATACTCACTTCCACAGAGTCCATGGTACGTGTGGATAGCAAACTGGCGATTTCCCGATGGAAAAGGGAAGATCGCTTCCTTCTCCGAGCCTACGACTACGTTTTGATTCCTTTCCTTGGCCTAAACAATCTTTTGGAAGAGATAACTTCAAGCTATGGAGTGTGGAACCAGCGAATAAACACCGCTGTTTCTCATTGGCTAACTGGTCGCCGCCATATTAGAAGTCCCGGATGTTAAGAGCGCGTTGACGTAAAGCGAGAAAGACCTTTAGCTGAGGAAGCGCTGCTTATGCGAAAGTCAGACTTACAGTTACATTGCAAGAATTAAAGAAAGCTTATTCATAAAAAAGTCCTTTGGTAATGTATTTCGAAGAAAAGTACTGGCAAGTCTCACATTCAACAACATGTAAGTTAAAAGTTCTATTTTTAACTCATGTCACCTCTGTCTGACCAGGAAATAAGTCAAAAGCCACTGTATAGGCTTATGCTGATTGCGATTTCAAAAAAAGATAAACGCGCATTTCAAAAAGTAAACAGACAGACATATTATGAATAGTGCCTGAAGTTATTTGCATAAATTCTATCTGACTATTAACTACTACTGTTACTATGCTGACTTATAATAAGGGCGTGGCTAAAGTTTATGACGCAGAGACAGTGGTTTGTTGTCAATTTTTTTAAAAACTACATTTACTTTTTGATGAAAGCACAATATTAAATCTAAGCCCAGACTGACTAACATGTATTATGTGTATCATAAAATTATACATCCGCTCTTTCGAAGATTCAAGAATACAGAGAAAAATTGACTCTATGGAACATGGATTTTTTTTGCAGAATAGTTTAAGAATACTCTCTGCCTGTCTTTTTAGCCGGCCGCTCGCGAGAGGGAGAACATGGGTGTTTGTTCTTTTTGTGATTTAGACAAGGGAAGCGGCGAATTGATCTTCGAACCTGAACTTAAACGCAAACTCATACATACCCCCCCCCCGTGGTACAGTACAAGGCATGGGGTGGATGGAGTCCCTACTCTGATTCCACAATAATGACATAATCTAAATTGTTTTATCGTTTAATAGATATTCCGTAGGCCCTCGGCGACACCTTTTTTTGTTGGTGATGACGTCGTCTGACGTCACATGACCTACATCGTGGATCCATCATCTTGGATTTCACTTGTTTCGACTTGTTTCTCAGAAAGTCAGAAAATGATGTGGATTGGTTGGAAATTAGCCAAACACGATACTTTAATGTAAAGCGCCAGTAATTTTGTAATTTTGCTCAAAGGAATTGAAAAAAAAAAAAAAACCCAGATAATTTCTGTCAAAAAAGAAAGAAATTAAATGGATGATCAGCATTTCAAAATGCGGTTGCTATGGCAATGTCAAATGATTTAAATTAAAGACATAGTTGACAGGTCAAAATATTGGCGAAGGGTGAATGAACAGCTACAGACAGAGTGAATCCTCTTGTCAAAATCTGAAAGACCTTTGAGGGGTAGCACTCGCCTCATCGTTTTGATACTTTTTATGACCTCCGACGTTCGGCGTCGACAAAACCTGGATCGGATCGGATCGGATCGGACCGGATCACGGATCGGATCACGGACCGGA